TCTCATCAGTCACTCAGTTCCTTTCCTCTTTTTCCTCCTCCCTCTCTCCGGCTGCTTACCGTAAATTGGCTGCCGACTGGCTTTGCTTTGCCATTTCCCCCTCCTCTTCTCCCCTCTTTACCTCCTCCTCTTCTCCCCTCTTTACCTCCTCCTCTTCTCCCCTCTTTACCTCCACCCTTTTTCTTCAGCACGGGCGGCTTCATCCACGCGGGCACCATGTGGCGCTGGATGGACGAGGTGGAGGATGTGGCGCAGAGGAGGGACATGCTCGAGGAGGTGCGGGGTGGGGCCGGGTGGGGTGGGGTGTGTATTGATCCTGTTCTCCGACTTCCTCACTACATTCGCGGCGTTCAGCCCCTTTCCGGCTTCCGAAGTACCCGTACTGCTTAGTCTGTGCCGAAATAACTACACCTGCTGCTACTGCTGCCATTGCTCCTACTGCTGCCACTGTTGCTACTGCTGCTACTGCTACCACTGCTGCCACTACTGCTACTGCTGCCACTGCAGGTTCGCGGCATCATCCTGGACTCGGCCCCCGCCGCCGTCAATCCCGAGATGTCCGCTCGCGCCATCGTGTCGGCCATCACCCATACACCCGCCGAGGAGCTGTCGTACGGCATGGCGGGTTGGCAGGTAAGAGCCGGTGGCGTTGTTTTGGTTCGTGGGTTTTGGTTCCGGAGCCGACGACCCATCCGGCCCACCCAACTCCCTCTCAGCCGCCCGTATTTCCCGCCCCACTGCCACCGTCATTGCCCAGACGGGTGCTGTGTTTGTTTGAATCTCTTGACTTCAACGCCACTTAGTACGACAACGGGTACGACGTTTGTTCCACTGGGTTGGGAGCAAGCCATGAACAACACATCTAATCTGTTTCCGTTCTGTTGCAAATGTTGTTGCATATCAGCGATTTCCCGCAGTAGAGCTGCCTGGTCCCCGTGCGGGGGCCCTATGTGTGCACTTGACTGCGTTCCATCCCCGCGGGGGCGTGTATGTGGGGCTCCTGTCCCCTCACCCCCCCCCCGGCTGCGTGTGTCGTTGTGTGGTGTGTCTCTGCGTGGTGTGTGTGTGTGTATGTGTGCGTCGGCTGTGTTCCCCCCACTAGTGCCACATCAGGGGACAGTTCATTCCTGACTTCCTTGCACTTGCTCATTTTCCGTTTGTTTGTCAGGGGCCGCTGCTGAACGGCGTCCGGACGTTCATGCAGAGCTACTTGCAAAGCAAGGGCGTCAAGATGCGCACCGAGGAGGTGCGGGACGGGGCGTGGTGTGGTGTGGCGTTGCGGCACGGCGCGGCGCGAACACGTACTAAGACACCTCGTCCTGGCTTGTGCGCACTTGTGTTGCGCAGTGTGTTTCTCCAATATTTGTTAATGTTTGTGAATTTCACATTATTCCACATCAATTTTCGCATTCCTCCTCCTCCGCGCACCATTGCCGCCTATTTGGGCGCTGTGGGCCTTCTTTTCCCGGAGCCGGAGCCCAATAAACGCGGTCATGACGCACACATATCACCATCGCCGCCAGCTTGTAATGCTCGCGTTGTATTGATGTCCTTGACGTGTGAGGTCCTGTTTACCGTGCTGTGCCCTTCCCGGCATTTCATGGCGCGCGTTGCCGCTGCGGCTGGTACTACTGGTATTACTTGTACTACTCGTACTGCTTTCCGCAGGTGTACGACGCCTGGTACAACTTGGCGCCCGTATGCCCCCAGCTGTACCTGTACAGCGATGCGGACCCGCTGGTCTCCTCATCGGATGTGGAGAGATACATGGGCGTCCAGGTGTGTGTGTGTGTAGGTGTGTGTATAGGTGTGTGTGTAGGTGTGTGTATAGGTGTGTGTGTAGGTGTGTGTATAGGTGTGTGTGTAGGTGGTTGTATAGGTGTGTGTATAGGTGTGTGTAGGTGTGTGTAGGTGGTTGTATAGGTGTGTGTGTAGGTGAGTATGTGCCTGGATAAACGTCTTCGCGGCGCGTGTGTATTGTTGTTGTGTGGCCATCGTTATCTGTGCTCCTCCAGAGCACTCAGCTGGGGTGCCTGGACCCCTTCTCTCTCCACCTCCCATCAGTTGTCTGCCCCTTCAGCAATAAAGAGGGAAAAATATGTGGTGCAATTCTTGAGGGGGAATCTTCCGGAGTGATGGGGCAGTCGCGACACTGCTCTGAACTCTCCGGAGTAGGTGTTTTAAACGTCGGCAGTTGTCGGTTTTCGACTCCTGATTTCATTGTCCTGCGATTCCTCGTGAGCTAGCTGCCGCCCTCTAGCCCTCCTACCCCACCCAGGGTCGGGTGTTGCTGCTCAGGCGCCTTCACGGCCCCCCTTCCCCCCATGCTCTGCCCTCACTCTTGCCCTGGCAGCAGCTTCACTCGTTTGTGGTTCGTCTTTCCCCCCATGCTCTGATATGCTGCTCCCATATGTTGCCGGTCCGTCACATGGTGCCGGACAGCACCCCTCACATGGCTATGTTTGGTTATGCTGTGAAAGCGTGTCGCGCGGATACGGGTTTGTTACCGGCCACGTTTGTGCGCGTCGCCTGGTGACCCCCGTCCCCCTGGCAACCTCCCCACTAACCCCGGCCCCACTTTTCTTCTTGTATAGTCGTTCCTCGGCAGCAGCTTCACTCGTTCATGGTTCGTCCTTTCCCCCTTTTCTCTCCGTCCTGTGTCCTTCCTCCCCTTCTGTCCTTCCGCCCGCACCCCGCGCGCCGGCCTCCACCCAAGCAGGAGGGTCGCGGAGTGGAGGTGAGCGGCTACAAGTGGCCCGACAGCGGCCACGTGGAGCACTTCCGCCGTCACCCCCACGAGTACGCCTACCAGATCAGTACCTTCCTGGCGCGGTCGCTGCGGGACTGGTAGCGCCAGGGAACTGGGACAGATCAAGGGGGTGGGGGGGGACCAGGGCTCGCGAATGGCCAGCACGCGATGGCTGCTTTGGACCGGCAGGGCTGTGTGTGTGTATGTATGTATGTGTGTGTGTTACATGGTTGGGGGGTGCGTGACCCCATACCTGTAAAACATACGAGCCGAAGCCCCAAGGGTTTTGTCTCCTGGTATGAGTAGTGTCAGCTAGCGGTCATGGCCATGGGTCATTGCGGTCATTGAAGTGGCAGGGAGGAAATTATGGAGCTCGGGTTATTGCTTTGTGGCGTCACTATCACGATTGCTGATTTTGACGTGTCTTTGCTTTTAGCTGTGATGGGGTCCCACGAGTTGCGGCTTGGCTTAGGTTGCATGGCGGGCGGTCACAGGTGGTGGGTCCTGCACGCGAACGTATCAGGATATGTCGGGGCCCATGGGGGAATGTTATGGGAAAGGGAAGATTGGTTAGCAGGGACAGCGGAGAGAGTTTTGACGTGAACGGCGGCGAGATTTGTAAGAACTGTAAGAAGTGATAAAGTAGCGGGAGCAGAGAGGGCTTGTCGTGGTGGGAAAAAAAATGTAAATGCTATGACTGTAGTTGGAGTATGCCGGTATGCCGGACCAAAGTGGCGTTAATCTCAATACGGTTCGGTGTGAGGGCAACAGGCAGGAGGGTGCGCGCGCGGGGGCAACTTAAGTGGCAACTGGTATTGATGCGCGTGCGGCAAGGAACGGAGACTGCTGACGGACTTGTTTTGACGTCGGAACATTATGGGCACTTTCCCGCATGTCGTTCCACGCGAATTGTGTTCAACGCCTTGCAAGTAAATTACTTTGTTTACTTCGTGTGGCAGGTCTAGCATCGAATGATAAGCGGAACTGGTCAAGGTGTGCAGGCGACAACCAAGTCCCAGCGTGACGTTACACCGTTTCTCAGCATCCTTATGGTGGTGTTGAGAAACACCGGGATGTATGATACTTTGTCCGAAAGGCTTCGAACCGAAGGGCTTTTTAACCACCGAAGCCGTACAGAGTGCGGCCCTGGCGCTTGAGCGCATAGACGACGTCCATAGCCGTGACAGTCTTGCGGCGAGCGTGCTCCGTGTACGTGACAGAGTCACGAATCACGTTCTCCAGAAAGTTCTTCAGCACCGTGCGGGTCTCCTCGTAGATGAGTCCGCTGATGCGCTTGACGCCACCACGACGAGCCAAACGACGAATAGCAGGCTTCGTGATGCCCTGGATGTTGTCACGGAGAACCTTGCGGTGGCGCTTAGCACCGCCCTTGCCCAGGCCCTTGCCACCCTTGCCGCGACCAGACATTCTCTGTAGTTAGTTGAGACGACAAAATAGGCTGTTCAAGAAGTTCCCTTTGTATAATAGTATGTGGTAATGCAGTAGGTTTTATACTTTATTGCCGTGCAGCTACCATGAGCAGTCGGGGTCAGCTCAGCGGGGCAACGGCTGCCGTATAACCGCCACTGAGGGCAATAGAAAAAAGTGGGCGAATAAGTTCTTCTTAATATCGTGCAACCTTACAAATCTCACTTAACAATATTCAAATCCAACAGCTTCTTCACATCTACGCAAGATGGCCCGCACCAAGCAGACAGCTCGTAAGTCGACTGGCGGCAAGGCGCCCCGCAAGCAGCTCGCGACTAAGGCCGCTCGTAAGACGCCGGCAACGGGTGGTGTGAAGAAGCCTCACCGCTACAGGCCCGGAACTGGTAAGAGTCCCAACTACTGAGCTTACCAGCGGTCAGCCATGCCAAGTGTCCAATTTTCCTGCTTGGTAATGCAGCTTGGCCTTTCTGTCTTTGGTCTTCGTTCCCTGCTACCAAAGCTCCTACATATCCTTGCCTTGCAAATCCTCATCCCCCCAATCCCAATCGCTTTTTTCCCGTATCGCAGTCGCTTTGCGTGAGATCCGCAAGTACCAGAAGAGCACGGAGCTGCTGATTCGCAAGCTCCCCTTTCAGCGGCTGGTTCGTGAGATCGCTCAGGATTTCAAGACGGATCTTCGTTTCCAGAGCCAGGCGGTGCTGGCGTTGCAGGAGGCCGCTGAGGCGTACCTGGTGGGCCTGTTCGAGGATACCAACCTGTGCGCCATCCACGCCAAGCGCGTCACCATCATGCCCAAGGACATCCAGCTGGCTCGCCGCATCCGTGGCGAGCGCGCTTAAGAGAGGTTCAGAATGCCTCCATTATCTTACAACCCGGTGTTTTTTAACACCACCGCAGATTTAAAGGATGTACTTACAAGAGTAAACACATAGGGTTTATAATAGGCATTATGTACATTATGTGGAGACGGTATCACGCACCTAAAGAGCATCAGATCTGATTTTGTCGTACACCGGACAGTCCATCAAAATGTGCTTCTCATCCTCGATATGGCTATCAGTGCCGCAACAGGGGCATACTCGCTCCTCCCTAGGTATATAACGCCGTTTTTTTAAGTAGAAACAGAAATAGAAATGCACATAGTACAGAACCAACAGTGCTGCAAGCCGCCAACGCCCGTGGTCCTGCCTTGCTGAAATTTCCGGTGTAATCCGACCTCAAAATTGCAATACAGAATGGACAGCATTTATACTGAGTACCTGGCAAGAGCGTGGGGCAATCCAGGCGGCCCTATCACTGCTGGCATGCTCCTAGCCCTCTACGGGGACTTCAGGAAGCTCGGAGACCAGGTGCTCGATCTGAAAAATGAGCAACAGCTCTCCCACGTGGAGATCATCGACCTCCAGGGCCGGGTCAGTAAACTGGAAACCGACCCGAGCGGCATCACGATGGATGCCCGCGGACTGATTAGCAGTAATAGGTTCTTCTATTGGGACAGCGTCGTTATCACGACCGACAAGAACAAAGATGAGGGCAGCATCCGGGCATGCCACCCCCAGCTGG